AATTAACAGAAGGACTAACGGAGTGCATTTCGTATAGTTGAGGGATCAAAAAAGTGTAAAAAATTGTTGAGGGACCAAAAATGTGCAACTCACTAAAGTTGAGGGACCAAATTTAGCATTTAACCAAAAAAAAAACACTTATCTTTTTTCATTGTTGAACAAGGGCAATTTTGGGACACGGCAAAGGGATTTCATGAGCCCGGAGTGCACTTTTTTACCAAATGTCTTGTAAGGTTAGGTGGAAAAAAAACACTTATTTGGTCCTTGGAAAAAAAATTGTTTACATCTGGGTAATTTTTCATCCATTACGGTGTATTATTTAAGTATTCTTTTATTAATTACAATTAAAAGTTAGAATTAATTATTAGCCTTGAATGAAAATAATTTATTATATAGCAACTTAAAAAAATAATTTGTAAATATTTGATTCAATATATATTTTTTATATTTGTTAAGTTTAACCCTTAAAAATATAATATAAGTATCACTAATTCAGTTGGTTTCTGTATCTCATGAGTATAATTGCATTTTTAAATTTATTTGTCTTTAATTTTAGATTAAAAAAATAATTTTTTTAAAAATATAGTATATAATGTATTAAACTGAAATATATACTAATCAATATCAATAACATATCATATTATAAATTTATAATATAAAAGATATTGTAATTATAATATTTTTGAATTATTTATTAACCTTAGGAGGCTACTCACCTCTGGTTGAGAAACTTTTGAAAAATATTTAATATGGTTTATTAATTTTTATTTTTATTAATTTTATTTTTAAATTTTTATTAATTTTATGCAATTCTAACCCATTTCTTTATTAATGTCTCATTTTGCCTCCAAAAATATATTTTTAGTTCCGCGACTGCTCACCCACACAAAATGCTTACTTGTGGGTCTCACATCACACAACAAAGATGATGTTTCATGCCCTCTGGGAGCCACGTTACCATAAGTTTTTTTTCTTAGTTGAAGGATAATGTAAGTTTTTAAAAAATGTTTGTAAATCAAAATTATAATTGTAAAAAACATAAAAAGGTTACAATGTTAATTAATTTAATTAGGACTCAATTAACAAGTTAAGGAAAATGATTTATTAGTTAAGTTTTTTTAACAATGAAATCTGAAAATATCATGTAGTATAAAAAGTTTGAAGATATTGTCTCTTATTCAAAATAATTGTCATGATAAAGAGAAAATTTTGATAATAAAGTAAATAATTAAAATTAAAGATGACAACAAAATTAAAGTAAAAAAATATTTGTGTTTTTAAAAACTAAAAAATGTTAATATAAAACAAATTTTGAGTTAACAAATTATTTTTGAATAAAAGAGGAAAATCTAATATTTTAATAATGTGGCATGAGGCATATAACTTATATGTGGCAAATAACGTGGCAGCTCGTTTGCAGCCAGTGTGGATTTCTGTCAGCGGAAGCGGAAGTTAGCTAAATGGCTCATTTTTACATGGAATTGGCACTTGTAGACCACCTTAGAAAGAAAATTTATTTCTAGACTAAAATGATAAAAACTATATAGTTAATAGACCATTTATTACGTTTAACCATTCACTAATACATGGCAATCTTAGACAAACTTACCATAAAAAGAGTTTAGCTACTCCACCTTGCCAATGTTTCTTAGCATTCCCTTCAAACAGATTAATGGAAGAGGGGAAGTGAATACCAAAACCTCTTTCATTTCGTGGGCACTTCTCTCACTTTGTTGATCCATTTCCCAGAACCATTTCCAATTTACATACATAGAGGTAAATTCCATTGTGAAGTTGGTTATTTCTTCTCTCTTTCATTTTTGTTTTGATGAATTCCTTGTGGGAGAGTACATGTATTTGTGTGTTTTTCAATTTTAAGGTTCATTTCTTATCTGGATTCTATAGATTGCTTTTCTTTCCTTTCTTTTTCCTGTTTGTTTAGCTTTGAAATTAAAGTTTTAATTTTATAAAATATCTTTGATTATATGATATTGTTGATTATAATATTACCTGGTTATTGAAGATTTGTGCCATGTGAGTTGCTTGCTAGTGAGAGAGTTTTTTGCAATCCAATTTCTCTGCCTGCTGAAAAAGCATGTTTGCCCTTTCCGTTGGATCCAGGTCGATATTTTGGGTATAAAACCCACGTCAAAATTTTGGCTTTGTCCAATGCTCCCTTTGGGTTGAAGGTGACGCTTTTTACAAATTTCATGGTAATGAAAATGAAGATAAGAATTACGGAGAAGAAAGCTTTTCAAATATGAGGTTTTTTCTCTTAAGATATGAAATTAGTTTAAATTTTGCAACATTTTTTATGGACCAATAATTCTTGAAATCAAATTTTGGAATGATATTTAAGAATGAAAATTTTTCTAGAACTAAAATTTGAGAGACTAATAATGTTTTTTAAGCACTGAATTTTGGAGGATTTTAGCGGAAGAATGAAAGAAGTTATGAAGTCCGTTAAAGAAGGGATGATGATTGCCCCTCTTCTAAAGCTGAAGGATTTTTATGAATTTTATTAAAGGAGGATAACAATGACTTCTTTTGCAAAGTTAAGGGATTTTTAGTGAGATTATACCAATTTTATAAGTTGAAAAAAAGTTCAGTTTTACTCTTTTTTTTTGGTCGTATTTAGTTTTATTTATTTTGCACAAATTATTATTATTTAAATAAAACTTATTTTAAATAAATTGTTAATTTTTTATTTTAATTTTAGATTTTAGTAGTTACAAAATTTATAAAATTTAAAACAAAAAATTTGAATCACAACTATTAATAAGAGTCTAAGACCGTTTTTAGAATGTTTGTAGTTTTTTGTTTTTAATTTTAGTTTTTTTTTAATAAATTTATAGTTTTTAATAAAAAAT